GCCTCACTCCCACCCTGCTCCAAACTCCACCACGGCCTCATCCTCCCGCCCTGCCACCCAGCCACTCCCCAGACCCCACCGCAGCCTCACCCGCACCCTACCCCCCCCACCCCACTGCGGCCTTACCCGCACCCTGCACCCCCAGACCCCACCATGGCCTCACCCCCACCCTGCCCCACAGCCACCCCCAAAACCCCACTGCCCCCTCAAACCTACGCCACAGCCAGGCTGGGGTAGCTCAGTCAGGGGCAGAAGGAGACAGGCTCAACGTACCATCTTATCCAGCACGTCCTCCTCCTCGATCCTGCTCAGCTCCTCAGCGCTCAGCTTGCTCCTCTTCTCCGGCTCCCTCGCCTGGGCCTTCTCCATCCCATTGGGCAGCTCCGGCTCTGGAACCGGCACCTGGGGCTGCTCCACCAGCTCTGCCTCCATCTGCAACAAGAGGGGCCGATGTCGAGAACCTCCCAGCTGCAGAGCGCCCTGCCCTGCCAAGGGCCCGGGCAAACCCCACGCATACATCCCCCAGCCCCACAGGGAGAGCAGCTCCGGTCGACAGCCCCAGCGCCCAGCCCTGGGAAGACGTGCCGGGGCGCATGCCCACAAGCAGCTGAGGACTTGGTTTTACACCCCAGTACTACCGTGCCCTCAGTGCCAGGCTGGGTATTAGCTATGGGCTGACGAGAGGGAAGAGCGCCACCTACTGAGTTGCCAATGCCACTGCCTGACCATCTGCCCTGCTCCCACTACCCATCGAGCCGGGCCGTACCAGCAAGCCCAGCAGAGGCTCTGTCTGCCAATCCTCTACGCCCACACGACAGGCTGAACCATCCTGCCCTTCCCCAGCCCCCCCAGCCCCGCTCACCCCTCCAGCGTTCCATAAGTAGAGCTGTGTTGGGGGCAGCCCTGACCATCTCCACACGCAGAGGGGACGTGACTGACCCGAGGTCACCCAGCAGGCCAGGGCGGGAGCAGGGAATAGAACCCAGGAGTCCTGCCTCCCAGTCCTGGGCTTCTGCCACTGAGCCACATGTGACAAAGCAGGAATTTTTTGTAATACTTTCAGGAGATCAGTTTGTGCCTCAGTTTCCCCTCTGTGCTGGATTGTCACTAGCGGGTGGAAAAGGGCTGTTTGCACTCTGGACAGGCGAAGAGACAGATATGGGTGTGGCCTAGCTGTCTGACACTCAGGCCCAAGTTCAGTGGTGCTCTGGAGAGCACAACAGCAGATCCAATTACCCAGACGCTGACACCGAGCAAGCAAGGACCCAGAGGCACATGGACTTCCCCACCTCTCAGCAAGGGGGCTGCCCAGCATTTCCCAGCCCAGAAACAGGGGTCCGGAGAGGTGTGAGCTGGGGGACAAGTGTTGGCTGCTAGTGGCAGTTGAGGATTTGGACCAAGGTCAGACGGACAGAGAGCCAGAGTTCACTACAGCTTGGCTGGGCACAGGGCGACCCCGAATGGACGATGCTTTACCCCTCATTCCTCTGGGCTGCCCTAAGGGCATCCTGTGACTAATAAACCCGACTGGCTTGACAATACTGCGAGTGTCACTGCACAAGCTGGACGAGGTGCATGCATCCCCCAAGAGCGGACAAGTCCCCCTCGGCTGTCTCAGCGGGACTCGCTGACCAGAGCTCACGGGGTGGAGCAGGCCCAGAGGTCCAGTCTAAGGAGGCGGTGAAGCCGCGTGGCTTCCCCTGGAGGAAGTGAGAGATGCCGGGGATCTGGCCCATGGAAGGGTTCCTCCCAGACGCTGTTCCAAAGCTGGCCCTAGCTCCGATCCGGTGGCTCCATCACCCCACACCACCAGAGCCCGGGGCAGACGTGCTGCTCCTGCGGGCAGGCGATTCCTTCCCTACCCTCACAACTCCTGCTCTCCGCCTCAAAGGGCACGCAGAACCCTGCAAGGGGAACGGAAGAGCCGGGGACAGGGCTACTGGCAACCTTAACACAGGCACGAGGGTCCAAGCAGCCCATGCGAGCTCAGCAGCAGTGAGTCTACACGTCAGGCAGCCCAGCTACACCCAGCGAGCAGGGGGGCTGCCCGGGCCGGCGGGTGGACTGGGCAGCAGGCACCGTGGACGCCTCTAGCTCCAGCACAGGATTTCCAGAAGGATTAAGGGGCTTATCGGAAAGAGGATCCTGGGCTGGGGATCAGGAGCTGCCCTGGCAACGAGGCAAGCCCAGCCTCTTCTGAACAATCATGTGGTGCCGGCTCCTTGTCAACACTACCCCCAACAAATACAGCCCGGCCAGCCGGCCAGGCCCAAAATAGCACCACAAAGGCCTGCGGACGGGGGCTGAGCCCACACCTGCTTGGCTCCATTCGCACTCCCCTGGCAGAGCAGCAGGGCCCGGGCACCCTGGCGCTGGCCGGCTGAGGGGCTGAGAGGGGACAGTAGCCCCGTTGGAGCAGGGTGCCCCCCATGGCAGGCCAACATATACAGCACAGCTGCCCTCTGGGCGTGACGGCCGGCAGCGCAGCCTCTCTCACTCTGCCCAGCGGCTCGCTGGGGGTCAGTTCTCTTTGGCTAAAACACCAGGGGACCAAGGGCTGGGATTTCCCAGCAGCCCTTGGGGCAGGGGCAGACCAGATGCCCAGCGCCCTTGGCAGGAAGCTGGCCTCTGTGGCCGGGGCTGGTGGTAGGCAGGCAGTGATGGGAGGAACCAAGCCTAGGGCAGGGCCGAATGCCTGTTGTCAGCTGGGCCCGCTGGGCTGTGCGCACAGCGGCCCAACTAGCCCTGGTGCTCAGGCAGACTATCCCAGCAGCCAGGGGAGATCCCGCTCACAGCGACGCCCGGACAGCCTCAGCAGCAAGCAGCTCTGACGCTGCCTATAGTGTCCCAGCACCCGCGGGAGGGCGCAGCTCCCTGGCTGGGCTCGGAGCTGGGGTAAGGAGACCCCAGGCCAGCTGTCCCTGCAAACAAACGCGGGCAGGCAGCAACGCCCAGCACGACAGGCTGCTCCAGATGGCATGTCAGCAATGCAAGGCAGGCGGCCTGGATTGGCTCCGGGTGATGGGAGCCTCGGCTGGCACAGGTCTCCCCCAGCAACCCCCAGCTGTAATCTCCTGCCACAGCCCCAGCTAATCCCCCGTGAAAATGCGCCTGCCTGGGCCAGCAGCAGCTGGCGCAAGCTCTGGGGCTCCCCCACCGCAGGAACAGCTTCCCTTTGCCCAGGGGCCAAGGCTTGGGGAAGGGCCGACAGGGGCCTCGCCCAGGCAGCTCCAAGCCGGCCGCCTGCCCTGGCCCCAGCGGGGGGACCGGCACTGGGCACCCAGAGTAGATTTTCAGACCAGCCAGCAGGGGCAGACCAGGGCTTCTGCCCAGCAACATCTGCCCACCTCTGCCTCCTTCCCCCAGACCCAAGACCTAGCCAGCCAACGCTGCCCATGGGATGGGCTCTCAGGGAAGCCGTCCACTGGAGGGAGTGGGCCTGCCACCCCGCCTTCCCCTGCCCGGAGCCTGCACACTCACAAAGCTGTTGCCCCTGGAGAGGTGCACAGACGACTGCCTGCGGGTGCTGGAGAAGGTGGGCGGATGGGCCACGGGGCTGCTGGGCTCCTCGGTGCCCGCAAAGTGGGCACAGGGATCTTGTGCCTCCAGGAAGAGGGTGCTGGGGTCCTTCTCCTCCAGATCCTGGGCTCCCAGCCAGAGCGTGAGCACCTCCAGCTGCCGGCCGAGGCGCGCCTGCTCGGCCCGCAGCACCAGGTGCTCCTCCTTCAAGTCGTTGAGGGCGCTGGCCAGGGGCTGCAACTGCTGTAGCGCCTCCTCCAGGCGCCTCTCGGTGGCCAGCTGGAAGGCCTGGAGGTCCAGCTGGATCTCCTCCACCGCCGCCTCCCGGGCATTGTCCAGGCTGGGGAGGTGCACCCCCGGCATGGTGCTGGCTGGGGATGGGACGCGGGCACGGCGGGGACCCTCGCTGCCACGCCGCAGGCTCCCGGGGCGAGACGCCGTGTGGTCAAGCCCCTCTCGCTGCCAGCTCCGGGCGGTGGGCTCTGCATGCTCCCAGCCCTTTATAGGGGCTCTTGGGCGTTGCCCCTCCCCGGGGCTGGGCTCCACCAGAGAGGCCTTTGTGTTCAGCCCGGCTATTCTTATCCACAGGCCGGGGCCTGGCAGAGGGGCCGACACAGGAGCCGGGTGGGGAGGTGCTGAACTTGGGACAGTTCCCAGCGCAGCCCAGTGATGGACTCGGGCCAGGTGGCCAAGCCGGGGGGGCGGCACTAGGACATGCTCGTGTGCAAGCCACCTGCCTCCCCACCCCCACACTCAGCCCGGGCTCCCCCTGAGCTGCCCCCCGGGGGCTCGCCCTCAGCAAATGGGGGAAGGGTCAACCAAAGCACTGCTAGGTAGAAAGGGGCTTGGATAGAGCAGGCCAGCTCCCGCCATGCCGCCCCCCCACCACACACACCCAGCCCCCGCCATGCTGCTCCCTCAGTACACCCCCCACCTCCCTCAGCCCAGCCCCCGCCATGCTGCCCCCACCACACTCCCCCAGCCCCCGCCGTGCCACTCTCCCAGTACACCCCCCACCTCTCCCAGCCCCCGCCATGCCTCCCGCCACCCCACACACCCAGCCTCCTGCCACCACACTCCCCCAGCCCCCACCATGTTGCTCTCTCAGTACACCCCCCACCATGCCGACCCCCACCACCCCATCACCTCGCCACCCTACCCCCCCAGCCCCTGCCATGCCTCCCGCCACCCCACACACCCAGCCCCCACCATGCTGCTCCCTCAGTACACCTCCCCCAGCCCAGCCCCCGCCATGCCGATCCCCACCACACTCCCCCAGCCCCTGCCATGCTGTCCCCACCACCCCATCACCTCGCCACCCTACCCCCCAGTACACCCCCCACCTCCCCCAGCCCAGCCATGCCACTCCCCACTGCACCCCCTAACTCCCCCAGCCCAGCCCCCACCATACCATCCTACACAACCTGTCTATAACTCCCCCAGACCAGCCCCAGCAGTGCCACCCCCTGCACCCCAGCTCCCACAGGCCAGCACTAGCGTCCCCTCGCAACACCCTAAGGAGGGGGAGGCAGGGCCCTCAGCACACAGCCCTGCAATTCCTTTGGGGAGGGGCAGCCTCCCAGTGCCACCCATGCCCATCCAGGCAGTGCACCCAGCTTCCGTCCCGCGCCCTGACAGTGCCAGCCCCTCACCCCTGCATCAGCACCCCCGTGCATGGATCTCACCCGCAGAAGGGGAGGCCTCCATCTGGGCTCTGGGCCGGCGCTGCCCAGACTGGGGGCAGAGAGCACAATGCACAGACAGGAGGTGGCTGCAGGCCCAGGCCAGGCCCCCCTACCCTCCATGGGCCATAGGGGCAGGATTTCCTCTGGGGTGGGGCTGCCTGTTCCGCTTGGGGGTCCTCAGGGGGTCCCCATCTTCACCCTGGGCCCTCCCTCCCCATGGCCTCGGTGTGCACAGCCCAGTGCCAGCGTTGGCAGGGACGCTGTTCCCGCCCGGCCTGCTCCATCCACCGGAGCCAAACCTCTCTGCGTCACAGGCCACTCCCCACCAGCTGCTGCCCCCCCACCGGGGGCTCCGAGCAGGCAGCTCCAGCCCCACTGCTGACTCTGCTCCAACACCAGCTCACCTGGGGGCGCTGAGCTCCCGTGAGCACCTGGCACGGCTGGTAAATAAAAGCATCAGCCAGGCAGATCAGGTTCCCAGGCAGAAAGCGGCAGCAGGAGTGACGCGCCCACTCTCAGCCTGCCCCCTCTAGGGCCCAGGAGCACGCAGCACCCTCCACAGGGGCCCCTGGAATAAAACACCCCCCCCCCCCCCCCAGCCACACCGCTCCCCCTCCGCATGGGCACCTGAGAGCACAGTCCCCTTGGCCCCCCACCCAAGCACCTGCCAGCCCCACAGCGCACTCCATGCCCGTGGCCACCTGTACCTGGAAGAGGTTGTGGGCTGCTCCTCCTGCCCCTCTCCCCTGCGGACAGCCTCGGCGCCCACCTGGCAGCTGCGCTCTCCCACCGGGCAGACCCAGCTCCGTGCCCTCCACACTAATACCTTAATGAGAGCTGACAGGCAGCTCGCACCACAGCCGGGCCACGGGGCCGCGTTAGCTCATTAGTGTGGGAGAAGCCATCCCCCCCACACACACACACCCAGCAAGAGCTGTCCCTGCTGAGTGCGCGGCTCCCACGGAGGTGCTGCCCTCCTCCCCCAGTCTGCCCTGCGGATGCCCCTCAATCCCGACCCACAGCCCCCCGCTGCTCCCTCAAGGTAGGGCTCAGGAGCACCAGGGCTGCGGGGTGGTGGCTGGGCCGGAGCCTATGTGGCTGCTCCTGCAGGGAGCCCCCCCCCCCCCCCGTGGGGCCCCCCCCGGGACCTGGACACAGAGCGGCCGAGAGCTGCAGACTCAGCCAGAGGTGCCTCATGTACCCTGGGGAGGGCCAGGCCGGCTCAGCCCCTCCTCCAGCTCCAGGGGTCTTGTGGGACAGGACTCTGGTGCTGCACCTCCTGGGGAAGGGGAGATGCAGAGACTCCTGCCACAAGGGGGAGCCACCCACGGGGGCACGTGCCAGGCCTGGTGTCATCCTGGGCCCCACGGCCACTGGGCCCCTAACAACACTGCAGTCTGGCCCTGACGCCTTTGTTTTTCCTAAACACTGCAACATGCCTGAGTGCTCTGCATTACCCTACATGGCCAAGAGTGCCAACCATGCCCGGCCAGCTCAGGTCCGGCCACACGCACCCACCCCCTCCCCTCCCACTTGGGGGCATGCGCCTGCCCCCCGACCCCCCCGGGGACATGTCCAGCTGCACACGCCTGCCTCCCTCTGGGGCGCGCGCCCAGCTGTATGTTTCCCTTCGCTGACTCAGCTCCAAGGGCCACCCCCCAAGCACACACGCCACGCCATCCCCTCCCCGGGTCACACGCCTGGCACACACACCTCCCCCCGGCGCACGCCTGGCCACACGCAGGAATCCCAGCTCCAAGGGCCACCCCCCACGCGCACTCCCCATCCCCTCCCCGGGTCACACGCCTCCCCCCAGCGCACGCCTGGTACACACGCAGGAATCCCAGCTCCAAGCAGCCGCCTAGGGGCTAGGGGGCCACTCCCCGACGCCAGCCAGCTCTAACCCCCTAGGACAGGGGTTCTCAAACTGGGGGTCGGGACCCCTCAGAGGGTCGTGAGGTTATTACATGGGGGGTCGCGAGCTGTAAGCCTCCACCCCAAACCCCACTTTGCCTCCAGCATTTATAATGGAGTTAAATATATTAAAAAGTGTTTATCGTTTATAAGGGGGGGGGGGTCACACTCAGAGGCTTGCTCTGTGAAAGGGGTCACCAGTACAAAAGTCTGAGACCCACTGCCCTAGGAGAAAGGCAGGCAGGGGAGAAGGGGTACGTTTTCCAGTCCTTCCCAAGAATCCCCCTCCGGAGCAGGGTCCGGCCCAGGCTTCTCCTTGCTGTGCCCAGCGAGGTACCACCCCGCACTCTGCGAGGGCTCTGGGGTCCTGTCCCGTGGCTCATGGGGTCACTCGGCCCCATGTGACCCCAGAGTGAGGCCAGGATCTCCAGAGGGTGTGGGGGGGGATGGGGACACATTCCTCACACTGGGCTGCCACCCCCACACAGACCACACCATCACAGAACTCCCAGAGTAACACTGCTCTGACCTGGCCACCAGGGGGGGCAGCTGTGACAGCTCCCCACCAGGCGCTCGCTGGGCTCAGTGGCGAGGCCCCCCGCAGCCGACTCGGCAAACACGCTGGGGGGCTAGGGACAGGCCTGGCCCAATCCCAGCTGGGAGCTGCCGGGCCTATAGCCAGGCTGGGGCAGGATCTGGTTTCACAGCAGAGCCAGTGGAGGCCCAGGGACTTGCTTCCCTCCCCACCCCCTTCGCACAGCCTGAGCCCCCCAGTTCCTGGCACCTGCTCTGTGCCCCCCCAGACCCAGCCAGCCAGGGCTGGCAAACCCCCGCACCTGCCGGCTCAAGGGCTGAAGCATCCTTCCCTTGCGCAGGGCAGGGCAGGGCAGGGCACTGTGCTGGTAAAGCCCCCCCCCCGGGGACAGCCTGCACCGGGCGCGAGGAGCCCAGGTGGGGGCATAGAGTGCGGCAGGGCAGGACTCAGACGCCTGCAGGGGCAGCAGATCCCTCGTGTGCACCCAGGCCCGGCTCTTCCCCAGGCCCGCGGTGGTGGGGGGCTCACCTTGCTGGCTGTGCTGACCCTGCCGGTGCCGCTAGCGGTGCTGCTGCTGCTGCTCCGGATGGGCGAGCTCCGCAGCCCCAGGGTCAGCTCTAGGAAGGGAGGGCACGAGAGTAGAGGCTGAGA